CTTCCCCGGCAACGACGCCAAATTTGTTGTGTACAAATTGTTATTTTTACCGAGTACCGAATCAAGGATTCATTTCCTGGGTCGATCTCTCGAGGAAGGCGGTTCGGAATTTAACTTTGGTATCGATAACACACAAAAAGAACACTCTAATCAGATAGCAGTTTGGATTAATTATTAACTAAGAAATAAAATAAAACAATAATCTACCTAAAAATATAAACGAATAAAGATGAAGAAGCTAGGGAGTCGGGGACAATTAATTCAAGTTCTATTTGCACACCAGGACATTAATCATTCTATTCTAGATTGACGTTCTCGCTTAAGCATCTAGCGGTTCGCTCCCAATAACTCTTCGTAATAAGGGATTGAACATAGACGAACAAACTTGAGCATACGACACAGGCCAATTATCCCAATCCCGATAACTATTCGTAACAAGGGACGAGTCATCGACAAGCACGTATTTCAATCTAGAACCTATAGACTTTTCAATTACGAAATCATCTACCTCATGCGAGCCTAAGTCTACGACTTCTATCCTTTCGGTTCTAAAAGTCGCTAATTAAATTAGAAGAGAGTTAATCGACTAATCATATAAAATCAACAAAATCCTAACTCGACTAATCAACATTCAATTGTTTCCAATTGCAAGATCGAAGTGTCACTCTTCGATTATATCAATCAATCAAACAAGATTTCATCAATTCGTAATCAAATCAACCTGCAAAACAACGAACAATTCAAGCCCGATAAATACACGTTAAACGAGAACAATCATCCCCTATCCCTAGCAATCAGAATTAGCTATGTATCATGATTTCAACACAATAAAGCATTCTACCCCAAATAATCATTTTGCATAAATTAAACAAGATGAAGAATACTTACAATCAATCCAATCCAAGAGTTGAATCCAAATTACAAACTTAATTCTTAGATGTAGAGAAGAAGAAGAAAAGTGGAAAAGAAAGACGAAGAGAAGAAGAAAAATGAAGAAGAAGAAGAAAAGGAGAATAAAAGATTTCTGTGGTTTTTTACGACTTAGGGTTCGTCCCCAAGAGGGGGCGAATAATTTCTCTAAATCCCGATCCTCTATTTATATGTGGCAGGACTCCTCGGTGTGAAAGGTCGTGAGCGCCGCGACGCGCAGTCCTACGGCGTGAAGAAAGCGTGCACAGCGGCATGAGATGGTCAGGTGGCGCGGCGTGTGGGACTGCCGCGGCGCGGAGAGGGAAGGCGCCGCGGCGCGGTGCAGCGTAACGGCGTGGCACGGGTGCAGAATGAGCAGGCGCTGTGGCGCGGAGAGATAGATTGTCGCGGCGTGCTGGCTGCCGCGGCGTGATGCACGTTCTTGGGCGAGTTCTCTATTCGGGTCGCGGCGCGGCACGTGCGTAATGCTGGGCCTGGGGCCGTGGCTTGCACAATTCGTGTCTCGGCTCGTTTGGATTCGTCTGAACTCGAAATTTAATTCTATTTTCTCCTGTGTATCGCCAACGAAACGCTCTAAATAATTACGATCGCATGGCCAATTTTTGCCTGAAATCCGGTCCTCCCGAGGCTTTCAACCTGCACACCAAAGACGAAAGAAAACCAGAAAAATACACGAAAAACACAGAAAAGGACTAACTGAAGGAAATCGCGCAATAGAACATAAAACACATTAAAAGCGAAAGAAAAGACCTAAGATGGGGGCAAAAGAAGGGTAAAACAAATACGGAAAACGCAACAAAAATGGGACAAACAGAGAACATGTCAGTTCTATTGGGATAGTCGGATGCTGTGAACTGTTGGGCTTTCTTGGCAACCCTGAGGGGAGGAGCATAGGACTGGTTTCACAAACTCCCCCCGGAGTCGATTAAGGATTTCGAGGGATTCTCGAGCTCTTTCCTGAATCAGTATGCTAGCGCTATAGCTCCTTAAAAAACATACTTGATCCTGATGGCCATGAGAAAGGAGGAGGACGTGTCTTTGAGGTGTTATGTCGATCGTTATAATAAGGATTTCATTGAGATTCCCTCGGCTTCAGATGAGGTTAAGGCAGGAGGCCTTGTAAGAAGTCTGAGGGCAGGAGCGTACAAGAACTCTTTGGCCAAGAAGGGTGCTATGACGTATGATGAACTTCTCAAGCAGTGTAGAAAGTATGTGACCGTAGAAGAAATGGTGGCCAAATTTTTGAAAATCGAGCAAGTATCTTGACCTGGGGAGAACATAAAGAAAATGGCAAGCTCGCCCAGGAAGGAGAAGTCGAGTGGGAAAAGAGAATATAAAAGACAGGATAGTTGGCAAGATCGACCACTCAAGAATGGTCAGAGGTATGGGAAGTATACTCCGTTGAAGACCCAAAGGCAGAGGTCCTTCACGCGATCGAGCAAAAGATTGATGGTAGAGATGTGACGTGGCCAAAGTTCAGGAGGGATGGGCCAACGCAACCAATGTCCGATTGATACAGTAGGTACCACAGGAACTGCGGTTACACGACGAACAACTGCAGACACCTGAAGAATTTGATCGAAAGATTGATTCGGGCTAGTCACTTGAAGGAGTTTGTGTACTAGGATAGAGAGAAAAAATAAGGAGAATGGGAGGTGCCGGGAAGATTCTATAGAGAAGGAGGATAGGGATGAGGACGACGATAGAGAGGAGTGTGAGGATCGTGATAAGCGTAAGCATGGTGCAAAAAAAGGCCGAGAGAGAGGAGGTCGAAACTTTGGGTAGGAGGAAGCCCCGCCTAAGAGGGCGGTCATTCACATGATCTCGAGGGGTCCCACTGGTGGAGACTCCAACAACGCGAGAAAGGAGCATACTCGAGCTGCGAAGAATAATAGAGAAGAAGTCAACATAATAGCTCGAGCGCCTGTGATCAGTTTTTGGGCTGAAGATGCCCAAGGTTTACATGTACCTTATAATGACGCGATGGTGATCACAGCTCGCGCATTTGAGCCGCTAATCATTCAAGTTAAAGATCGGTGTTCAACCCGCAACCAATCATTCAAGTTGAATGCCCTTAGATCTTCAAGAACTTCTTCAAATCATCAAGAGGGTTATTGAGAGCTCTTGAATTTGAGACATTGATTAAATTTATGAGGTGTGTGATTTGTGACTTTGAGGAGAGTCTTATTTATAGGTGTAGGAGAGAGAGTCTTGGAGAAGAAGACATCAATTTGATTATAATCTCTTTCCTTATTCTAAGATTTTTTTTCTTAACCTTAAGATTTGGCTTGATGAATAAAAAATATTTACTTTATTAATTAAATATTGTATTTACCTTGAATGTATGTCAAAAAATAAATAAAGACACTAATTAATAAAATATTAAATTTCGATTTCTACAGTCTCCATTATATCCAGAGGCGGAAGCACGTGTGCTCATACCTGGGCTTAAGTCCGGGTGGCTTCTACATACTTATAGTTAATTAATTTATTATAAAAAAATTATATTCTTACATTTTAGCCCAACATTGATAATTGAAAATTTTAAGCAAATATTATCCACTAAAACATGTATCAAATCACTTCAAATTCCAAGCTCTTATTAGATATTAAATGAGAGTTCTTTTCTTTCTTTCTTTTTTTTTAAAAAAAAAATTACTTTTGGAAATTAATTATTGAACAAATTAAATTGGTTTTTCCTTTATATAAAAAGGCGAGTATGATGATGATTTCTTGCATCAATAATGAAGTTTAAAGATATTTTCAAGTTCAAAACACCTAATTTCGATAAATTTATCATTGAAAAAGCTTGATCTTTTTCGTCCTATTTTTGCATATTAAGAAAATAATTTTTTACTCATCATAATTAATTTTAGTTCTTCCTTTCAAAGAAATTGCTTTCATACGTCTTTTGCTTGTGCGTTTGACGGGAATCGAGAAATTCGATTTGATCGTGCGCCCGAGAATATTTTAAATTCTAGCTTCGCCCTTGACTATATCTAAGCTTTGCAATGGTTTTAATTACTATCTATCAATTCAAAAAAGAAAAAAAAAATCTGAAATTTTACTCTTAGAGCATTCACAATGTTTTGGGTTCAATCACAAAAAATTGCATGTCACCTAAAAAATAGACATAGTCTAAAAAAATGTATTATCTAATGCAAATAAAAGTAGACTGGGTCCTGCTGATGTGGCAGCCAGAAAAAGAGACCCCTATAAGTTGCTTCCTACCCCGAATTCGATTGCAGATGTTTTTCCGTTATTACATTTTTCACGACAGATCTTTCTACAAAGGGTTTGATAGAATCCAGGTAGAAAAGCGAGTATGAAAGATAGTTCTTGTTCGGCTCCTCATTAAAAAGCACACCGGGTTGTTTAAGGTTTACCCTTAAGTCTATTTTAAACCTAAGTAGAAACCTAATCTCTTTGCATTGGAGTGAACTTTATCAATTTTACATAATTTTATCAATGTCATTCAAGATTTGGATTTATTTACATACCACATAGGCAAATCTAAATCCAATACTTTGTAGATGCTCCTAAAAACAACTTTCACCTAAATTTATCTAAATCCAATACTTTGTAGATGCTCCTAAAAACAACTTTCACCTAAATTTTGTGCGTCTGTCAAGTATTTTTCCATCAACACATGCATAAACACATCTTTAAAAATTAAACTAAATCAAAACACCAAATTGATTCCTTTTTGAAAAGGAAAATATCCACACTCAGATGAAAATGGATGGTATAACTATCGCTCATGACCTCAGTGCTGTGCAAATTGGACCGCACAACATTTTAATATTACTTTTGTCAAAAGGCATCAATCATGTTCTGTTTTGAAGAAAGACTTTCCAAGTGCAAAAGCAACGCGAACATGCATCTCTCTTTCCAATTGAGATTCTATTGGATTTCTCACAAGATTTTACTGCGAATTTTTTCTCCTATTACCTATTATAATCATACACCAATTGTCCTATCATATTCAATTCCAAATACAAATTAATAATCATAAAGGTATGAACTTTCAAGTGAAATCAGTAAAATAATAACAACAAAAATATATTAATCGGAGTTGTTTTTCGTATTTTTCTTCCCCTCAATTTCTCAAAAGAATTGGGGTGGTTTTCTCGAATTCTTTTGCTTTTCTTCCCTTTTTTTTTGCTCACAAAAAGAATGGACTCACTGTTGAAGGGTCGTTGTCGTGGTCTCATCCCACGATCAAAAATGGAGATGAGTTGCAGTCATTATTTGGTGGGAACTGCTCGCCTTTACAAATTCGAAAAATCAAAAATAAAAAGGAAAAACCAGAAAAAAAAAAAGCAGGTACTGTTGCAGAGCACATATATATAAAGAGAGATGGCATGTAAAAAAAGGGTAACTTTCAAAAATTTAAAAATTCCCCCAATTTTTCAGCGGCGCCTCTCTTTTATCCCTCCCATCGTTAACACCGTCCGCCGCCATCTCCCTCCTTCCTTAACTGGACCTGATTATTACCTGTTTCGATTTTCATCTCTTTTTATAACCTCCTTTCAACTGAGCAACGAGACAATTTTACTTTGGGCGGAACAATTTTGCTCCCGAGAGTTGGAGAAGAAAAGGGTAAAAAAAAAAGCCTCCCGTGAACTTTTTCCATCCAATCGCGAATAGGTATTCTTTGTCTGATCACGTGTCCTTTTTTTCTCTTGTTTTTCTGTTAATTAATAGGTTCTGCAACTTTTGCCTTTTAACACTGAATAAAAAATTATCTCTTTGTGTTTGAATTAGGTATTTCGAGACCAACTCAGTTATTTGGACTTGAATTCCACACACTGCAAAGATTAAAACTTTCAAGTTTCAACTGTTCTATCAGGTGGCTAATTCCGTGCTTATTGGCCAACAAAAATGGATGTAAATGGGAAAGACGAGCTGAAGGTGCCGCTTTTGCAGCATCCAAACGATGTTGTCATCAATGTTTCGCCTCCTAATAAGAAGTTGAGCAACAAAACCAGGACTCTAGTCTTCAAAGTGCTTGGTATAACGTGCGCATCCTGCGTGGCCTCCATAGAAGCTGCTCTTGGAAAACTGGACGGCGTGCAGAGTGTAATGGTGTCTGTGCTTCAAGGTCAGGCTGTTGTGAAGTATGTGCCAGAAGTTGTCACTGTAAGCCAACTTCAAATTTCTCTATTATATTCTTTTCTTTTGTTCTGTTCTACTCGTCATCTTAGGTTTTTGTACAAATATTAAGAAAAATAGTCATTGGTGTTTTATTTCATCCAATTTTAATGAAATGTGTTGAATTATAGCATACACATGAGTCAATATAATATGAAGTTAATAGTACGATACAGATGGATTGGAACATATTGTTTGAGAAAGATGATATATAGAACGAAACGGAGGGAGTAGATTTTCAAGTAGATTGCTATTTCCCTTGGTTAATTTCTTGGGTGTATCTACATGCTCTCGTGTTTGATATGCAAGGATGGAGTGTTTCATCATACACGAACAATTTTTGTGTCCATTTGTGGATTTCATATTTATTTCATCCAAACTCTATATGGTGTAACATTTTCACTATACTTAATTTCAGGCTAAAATGATTAAAGAAGCTGTGGAAGACACAGGGTTTGAAGTTGCTGAGTTTCCTGAGCAAGACATTGCCATGTGCAGGGTCAGACTTAAAGGAATGGCATGCACAAGCTGCTCAGAGTCGGTAGAACGTGCCTTATCAATGGTGGATGGAGTGAAAAAAGCCATGGTTGGTTTAGCTCTTGGAGAAGCCAAAGTCCATTTCGATCCAAACATGACCAGTACTGACCACATTCTTAAAGCAGTAGAAGAAGATGCTGGATTTGGAGCTGAACTTATAAGCACTGGCAATGACTTGAGCAAAGTACATCTTAAGCTGGAAGGAATCAATTCTCTGGATGATTTTACTGCCATTCAAGCTGCACTCGAGTCTTTGGAAGGCGTTAATCACGTTGAATTAGATGTGGAGGAGCATAAAGTGAGCATAAGTTATGAACCAAATATTGTAGGTCCAAGATCATTAATACAGTGCATCAAGGAAGCTGGCAGTGGACCCAACTCTTATCAAGCAACTCTTTACAATCCACCAAGAGGAGGAGAGGCTGAGAGGCAGCACGAAGTTCTTGTTTATCGGAATCAATTCATGTGGAGTTGTCTATTTTCAGTTCCTATATTTGTTTTCTCTATGGTGCTTCCGATGCTCCCACCTTATGGGAATTGGCTGGAATACAAGGTTATAAACATGCTTGATCTTGGGATGCTTTTGAGATGGATCCTTTGCACACCTGTGCAGTTTATCATCGGAAAAAGGTACTCATATCTCTTTCCTAGGAAAATATTCTAAAGTTATATTGTTATTGTGGTCAGTGCAAATTTATGGAATTTTCAGTAGTGGGTTCTAATCACCTTCTCAGGTTTTATGCAGGATCATATCATGCCCTGAGGCGAAAATCTGCAAATATGGATGTTCTGGTTGCCTTGGGCACTAATGCTGCTTACTTCTATTCTATATACATCATGTTAAAAGCATTGACTTCGGATTCTTTCGAGGGACAGGATTTTTTTGAAACTAGTTCTATGTTAATATCTTTCATCCTTTTGGGCAAATACCTGGAGGTTTTGGCGAAAGGGAAGACATCAGATGCATTAGCAAAGTTATCAGAACTAGCACCTGATACAGCCTGTCTTTTAACTCTAGATGCTGAAGGAAATGTCATTTCTGAAACTGAAATCGATACACAACTCATTGAAAAGAATGACGTTTTAAAGATTGTTCCTGGGACGAAGGTTCCTGTTGACGGAATTGTTATTGATGGTCAAAGCCATGTGAATGAGAGCATGATTACAGGAGAAGCTCTGCCTGTAGCTAAAAGACCTGGTGATAAGGTAAGATTATTACTATAGTTCTTATTAAAGGTAAATTTTTTTTCAGTTTAAAAGTATATCCATTGGACCTTAACATTACTTTGCATCAACAGGTGATTGGTGGGACAATGAACGAGAATGGGTGTATACGCGTTAGGGCCACTCATATAGGTTCAGAAACAGCCTTATCACAGATTGTTGAGCTAGTTGAAGCTGCTCAGCTTGCCAAAGCACCTGTGCAGAAATTGGCTGACCAAATTTCTAAGTTTTTCGTACCAACAGTGAGTTTCTTGTTTTACTCCTTTTGATTTTAAATGTCTTAATATGTAAGAGAGTTTTCTTACCAACAGTGAGTTTCTTGTTTTACTCCTTTTAATTTAATTTCGTAGCCAATATAGCATAGTGTTCATCTGAAGGAGGATTTTGCAAGCTTGGTTTTTAGTTTGTATAATAAATGAGGAGATTTAAAAGTTTAGTGAAAGTAAAAGTGCTACCATCACGTGCTAAGAATTGGTTGTGAAATTATGAACTAGTATTACTAGCATTGCATGATAGATCTATTAATAAAAAATGTTTGTTCTTCGTGTTCTTCTAATCGTCGAGTGATTCTGAAGTAGTACTACTCCAGTCTTTTTTCACAATGGTAAATTTTTTAATATACGCTGCAAACAGATTTTCACCCGCAAAACAGTTATTTCTCTTCCTATTCTGAATAATCTCGAGAATAAAAAAAAAAGTGTCATGAAAGCCTGGTAGCTCTTCTAGCTATGGTCTCAAATCTCAGATTAAGGAGTTTGGTAGCATATGAAATGATGTTATTGCTCTGTGTCAGGTTGTCCTAGCTGCTTTTCTGACATGGCTGGGGTGGTTTATTCCTGGAGTAGCTGGGTTGTACCCTAGAGCCTGGATACCCACGGCAATGGATGCATTTGAGTTTGCCTTACAGTTTGGTATTTCTGTATTGGTGGTAGCCTGCCCTTGTGCCCTGGGGTTAGCAACTCCAACTGCAGTAATGGTTGCCACTGGGAAGGGTGCTTCTCTAGGTGTGCTGATTAAAGGTGGAACTGCCCTTGAGAAAGCACATAAGGTAAGCTCTCTATTTCTTTTGTTTTTTGGTTGTTTGGGTGACTATTCAAATATCTGTTTCTTTAGCTCTATAGACCAATCAAAATACCGTGATAATGAATTTATGCTTTGGGCGCATGCAGGTTAAGACAGTAGTCTTTGATAAAACCGGAACACTGACATCTGGAAAACCAGCTGTTGTTAGTTCCGTGCTCTTCTCCGATGTGCCAATGGAAGATTTTTGTGACATGACTATTGCTGCTGAGGTGAGTTTTTTCCTAATTCTGATATGTTACTATATTTTATCTGAATTTCCACTGATACTGTGCATAGAGAGTAAGTAGGTAAGCTAATTGCAACAATTACTTGAAAGATAAAAAGCGGGGTTCAGGTTTTGATGGTTCTGATAGATTCTAAAAATTTCAGGCAAATAGTGAGCACCCCATAGCAAGAGCTGTCGTGGAGCACGCCAAAACATTACTTCAGAAGCACGGGTCCCACCACGACCAATTCACCGAAGTGACTGACTTCAAGGTCCACCCTGGCACTGGGGTGAGTGGCAAAATCGGAGATAGAGAAATCCTGGTTGGGAACAAAAGGCTTATGCAGCTATTTAATGTCCCGCTTGGCAGCGAGGTGGACAAATACATTTCCGAAAACGAGCGTCTGGCTCGTACGTGTGCCCTTGTGGCCATCCAAAGAAGACCTGCTGGGGCTTTTGCTGTGACTGACCCTGTGAAGCCCGAAGCCTCTCTCGTCGTATCTTATCTGCATTCGATGGGCGTCTCGAGTGTGATGGTCACGGGTGATAACTGGTCTACGGCCAATGCAATAGCTACTCAGGTGGGCATACGCAAAGTGTTTGCCGAAACGGACCCACTCGGGAAAGCCGACAAGATAAAAGAGTTGCAGGTAAAAAGCAATTTCCTCACCATATCCTTCTTATTACCTCCTTCTACTGCTATGTTGGGTTCACAAATAAGCTAGCTTATAACTTGTTTGGTTAGCTCAAAAGCTTCATGTATTTAAATAAGTTTCGTTTGGTAGGACGAACTTTTTTTAAAAAGCTCGAGCTTATCTCATAAGCTTCTTTGGCTAGCTTATCAGCTACTTTTACCCAACACTTTTATCATATAAGCTCGATAATTACATATAAGCTAGTTTATCAGCCAATTTTACCAAACATAGCCTTAATTAAACTTTTCATTTCCTAAAACAGTTGCAAGGAACGAGCGTGGCAATGGTGGGAGATGGGATAAACGACTCGCCGGCACTGGTGGCCGCTGATGTCGGCATGGCGATCGGTGCCGGCACTGACGTGGCAATCGAGGCTGCTGACATCGTGCTGATGAAGAGCAGTCTAGAGGATGTGGCGACTGCCATAGACCTCTCGCGCAAGACAATGTCCCGAATACGAATGAACTATGTGTGGGCCCTTGGGTACAATGTGCTTGGGATGCCGGTTGCTGCAGGGCTTCTTTACCCCTTCATGGGGATCCGCCTGCCGCCTTGGCTGGCCGGAGCCTGCATGGCGGCCTCATCTATAAGCGTGGTTTGCTCTTCGCTCCTGCTGCAGTATTACAGGAAGCCTTTGCGTGTTAGTGTTAGTGCTATGTGATGGATATGGAGCTTCAAATGATTACTTGGATTTTGTGAGTTTGAAATTGGAAGGCGTGCCCAATGGATAGCGTTCAAGTTGACCTGTATTGATCTGCGTTCGTGATTTGGTGTTTTAACTGTGGAGACATATTAATTTCTAATATTAGGAAAACTAGTAAATGATGTTTTGGACGTCCCAATGGAGTATTTGTACTGTTGTGACTTGTGGCTCTCTTTTAAATAATTATTAGACTAAATTCTGAGGGTAGCTTTCATTAGAACAAAAATGGAGGCATTAGTGTGTGCTAGTATGGGGTTATGGTATTTTTTTTGACACATTCCACTTTCTAAATTAGTTGGATTAGCTGCGACTTTTATTAGTTGTCCATTATAGAGTGACCTTTGGTCTGGCACGCAAAGCCAGCCCTCCATTTAGAATTTTAGTTGTTTATAAAGGTATTATACCTTTAGACCAATCAATGTGTGGAAGGGCCTACATTTCATATCTTGAGGTGACCTTTTCAATCCACTATTTTTGGTGGTCAAAAGGCGCCTCGGTCGACTGCAGCTGATAACTGGTCATAGACTTGGTTATACAAAAAGAGTTTTTACTAAATAAATAGTTATATAAGAGTTTAGTAAATAATTAGTCGTTTGATATGTAAATATAAATAATATTGTAAATTTATTTAAAAAACTTCTTAAGTAAATTTTCTAAATTAGTTTTTTTTTTTAATTTAGAAAGTTATTTAAAATTGTTTCTTACCTAATAAAAGAATTAGATGTTCAGACAAATCAAACATCTCATTTAACTCAAAACACTGTTTAGGCCTTTTTTTCTTATAGAATGAGATAATATCTATACTTATATTAAAAGGTATACCATTTACCAAATTTAATATAAAGAAAAGTCAATAACATTTATTGCATTATTATTTCCATATTATACAATCTATACTTATATAAAAGGAGATTTTTTATCAAGAAAAGTCAACTGCATTAAATGTCATTATTATTTTGGTATTATAATATTTTATTTATGTAATTGATTTATTTATTTATTTTATTTTAAAAAGGTAAGTATAATAAAAGATTTTAATAATAAAAAATAAAAATACCAAATAAAAATGTACACTTTGACTTATTTGATTATATTTGGTATTTGATTATACCAAATATATTCCTATTTAGTATATACATTAAATACTTACTAAAGTATTTATTTGTTTTATTTGTTAAAGTTAAGTATAGATTTGTTTATATTATCAAATCATAAAAAAAATATTAAATCCATATTGTAAAAAAAAAAATCATATAATTTTATAACACTACACTATTTAACAATATTTTTTTTTATTATAAAATAAAATAATAATTAAATATTATATGGTGAACAACAATAAGTAAAACTGTTACTTTCTCTTATATCAAGGGATAAATTTATATGCTAAAATTAAATTTTTATTAGTATAAATGTTTTAGTGAGATAATATATTAATTATTTTACAAGCTAGCCCTAACATGCTCATATTTAATGTTTTAAAAGATGTAGAAAAAAAACTTATAATAACTCTATTGTTTTTTAGACTTAAACGTTGATTAAAAGAGGTAAAAATTCCTAATTTTTTAGACTTAAACGTTGATTAACACCATAGATTGAGAGTTTATATTTAGTAAAATTCCTAATTGTAATAAAAAAATTAATTTTTGCTATATTTTAGAATATCTTTAAATTCATTATAAAAAAAAAAAAAAAAAAAACTACAATGAAAAAAGCAAGTCAGCTATATATCGATTTGTTGTACTCCTCAAATCACATTCACAATTTGGCTACAAGGAAAGGAAACTCATTGATTAAAATATTATTTTGTCAGTAGTCTTAATGTACAAGAGACTTTAAGACTCCACTTGAATATTATAAAACTTTTATTGAACATTGTACAATTTTCTTGCGTATTATAAACTCTTATTGAATATTGCATCTTATAATATAATATTCTCCAAATAAATATATCTCGTGCTTTGCACGGGTCACGTACTATATATATCCCGTACATTTTTCTTTATTCATGTATATAATTATAAGCCTAGATAAATAGCCTTAAAATTGTGCATCCCGTGCATCGCACGGGCTCTGTACTAGTTCATTAATCAACCTTATTCGGTATTTACTAGCAAGGATCGAGATTGAGATAAATTAATGTATGTGGTAGATTGACACACGCCAGTACCCATACAACTGTCATTTTATAAAGGATATAATCCATACAACTTGTCATTTTAAATATTTAATAATATAAGTTTCTAAAAATTATTTAAAGCTTAAAATAATAACTTCTCGCTTATTTTTATTAAATTTAGTATTTATTTTTTAACTAGTGTACACTGTATAGTAATAATGTTATTATTTACTTCTTACTTCTTACTTCTTACTTCTTAGGTCACCTAGGCATTTACTAGTTACTACTATAAATATCACAAACCAGCCACCACTGTAAGCCCCTTTCCCATTTCTCTCCGCACAATCTCCTCGTTCTTCTCTCCTCCGTTATCATTTGCCTTATCGAATTTCGAGGCGAGCAGAGCGCAGGTAAAAACATTTTTCCAGTCCGAATTTTGAAGAAATTAATCGCCACTCTCATTTCTTTTAATTGAATTATATTGTTTCTATTTTTTAATTTTATTTTAATTTTATGGGATCCAGCACGATTCTCGTTTTTGTACGACCGTGATTCGTCTTTCTTTCTATTTTTGCTCGGTTTCATCTTGTTTGTTTTTTCCTCATTCGATTTGGGTATATATTTGTTATTGCTGCTGCTTGTCGTCCTAGTTTAGATCCGTTGAAAGATTTCATAAGGTGTGTACTAGGTAAAGTGCACTTTGGTGGATCTGTATTTTCTAGTCCTTATCTCAGTGTTTTTTCTTTTGTTCATTTCCCTTTTTGATCTATTGAAATTTCAGTAGATCCGATGCATGTATGCGAGAGAATAAGGTCTTGGATCTTGTCAGATCCAGCTGATTGAGCCATTTTTATTATTATTTCCTAGTGTAGTGTTGCATCATATGGTTGCAGTTTGTAATGAACATTTACGTGTTAGCTTGTTAGTTTATTTATGAGAACATTTGTAATGAACAATTATTTTAAGCTCTTATTCTTGAAACAAATTCCTTTTTTAAAAAAAAAATAAAAATAAAATATTTAATGTCATCTCAGTTACAGAGCACTCATAATTTGTTGCGATAAACTGTATTATGCGATGTGTTTAGATAAATTTATAAACATTGATGGTTAGGATAAATAGTTGCTTAAAACATGAGATTGTTGTTTGGCTTAGTGGTCTGTAGAGGCAGACAGTTAAAGTTCATGGGCGTAGTAGACTTGAGTTTGTTTTAGACTTGAATGCCTGGAGTTCTGAGCTCTCAATTGCAATTAACTGGGTATGCTGTTTTGGTTATAGCGGCCTAGAGGTTAGTAGAGGCTGGCAGTTCATGTGGTGTGTAATTCTGAGTTTGACTTTTAGACTTGAATGCTTGGGGTTTTGTTCTCTTAAGAGCCATTGATTGAGTATGCTGTTTGGTTATGCAATTATGTTGCAAGGTTTTGTGTCCTAATGATTTGTTTTAATTCCATTTAATAGGATTTATTATTGGCTTTGGCTGCTTAAATTTGAAATTGTGGTCTATATACCATCTAGCATACACTTTCTTCCTGCGATTCTCTTCACATCATCTTTGGGTTTAAAGTTATCTGATGTTGTATTTGCATCTATGTGATTGGTGTAGTAATTCTTGGAAAGACACGCTTTGATGCTATTGTTTGTTAGGCCGCACCTACAGTCATTTTAAGTTCACTTGTATCAGTTTAATTCGCACCATTTGGATCAAAAATTTTCTAGCTCTTGAAATTTTTTCAAATAAAATATTTTCTAATATTTTATGCACAACTACAATCTTCACTTTTGACTTTTTGCCATGCTTAACAACATGTTTTCTGTCTATGATTCAATTTATTTGGATGCCAATTTGACCATCCTTTTGTGTCCTGCAGGATTTTATCCATTGTTATAAATGGAAGATCAGTACCATTACCCGACCATCGCCCAGAAGGTAGCCAGCCAGCTAACTCTTGGCTCCAGTCTCTCTCAGGATGCACAGGCCCGCTATGTGGGCTTCCAGAGGCCTGCTGCCTACCAGCGAAAGTTTTCTTACGGAAACTACACAAACCCTGGATTGCAGTATCCTTTCACCTGCAGAGCCACCCAGGATCTGTCCTTGATTTCCGCTAATGCATCACCAGTGTTCGTTCAGGCTCCCCAGGAAAAGGGTTTAGCCAGCTTTGCGATTGACTTTCTCATGGGAGGTGTTTCTGCTGCTGTGTCAAAAACGGCTGCAGCCCCCATTGAGCGTGTGAAGCTTCTGATCCAAAACCAAGATGAGATGATCAAGGCTGGCAGACTCTCTGAGCCATACAAGGGCATTGGAGACTGTTTCAAGAGAACGGTTCAGGATGAAGGATTTGGGTCCTTGTGGAGAGGAAACACCGCTAATGTCATCCGCTACTTTCCCACTCAGGTTACATAACATACCCTTTCTTGGAAATTTGACCTCAGTAAACTTTCTTTATGCCTTTCTAATCATTTACTGTTTGTTCTTCAACAGGCCTTGAACTTTGCTTTCAAGGACTACTTCAAGAGGCTCTTCAACTTCAAGAAGGACCGTGATGGCTACTGGAAATGGTTTGCTGGCAACCTTGCATCTGGTGGTGCTGCTGGTGCTTCCTCATTGCTGTTTGTCTACTCCTTGGACTATGCCCGTACTCGTCTGGCCAATGATGCCAAGGCTGCTAAGAAGGGTGGCGAGAGGCAGTTCAATGGTTTGGTTGATGTCTATAGAAAGACCTTGAAATCCGATGGAATAGCTGGGCTTTACCGTGGGTTCAACATCTCATGTGTTGGAATCATTGTGTACCGTGGTCTGTACTTTGGAATGTACGATTCTTTGAAGCCGGTGCTCCTGACTGGAGGATTGCAGGTCAGTACTGTTCTTTTTATATGCTTGGTCGTCGATTTATGATTTTCATATTCATTTATGCGACATATGCTATTTTCGTTTGAATGTAACACAAAATTTTGGTTAATGAAAAACAAATGAATTTTTGACAATTCGTTTTTAGGTACTTGATTATTGCCTTAGTGTTTGGGTCCAATTACGGTTATTATGTGTTGTCTTATGTTTTTTCTGAAGGAGTATTTTCTTTGAAGTAGTTACAACTATTACCACTCAGGTAGCCCTTGAGGCACTACAAACATCCCCACGAGGTCTGCTTTAACAAGTATCCACCTATTAAGGGTGCAATTTAGGAAATAGAAAATATTGAGATAATTCAGGTTTCGAACATATTTAGTTTGTAATGACTTATACACTCTCTTGATTATATCCTGTGAGAAACTGTAATTGTATTGTATGCATAGAGAACTATGAAATTTCCTCCTATGTGCAGTTATTGAATTAGAAGATATTGAGATGATATTTGTAGTTCAGTAACAATCGTGATATACAGAGAAAGTAGTTCTGAAGTGTTGTATTTGTATTAATTATCTGCACAGTTCTTTTTATGTTTTTGTCGATTTGCATAATGTTATGATTTCTTGAGAATCTATATATTGACTAAGATTTGGCCTTTTGTAACTATTGCAGGATAGTTTCTTTGCTAGCTTTGCCCTCGGTTGGCTCATCACTAACGGTGCTGGTCTAGCCTCCTACCCTATTGACACCGTTCGTAGAAGAATGATGATGACATCAGGCGAGGCCGTGAAGTACAAGAGCTCTCTAGACGCATTTGCTCAGATTCTGAAGAACGAGGGTGCCAAGTCATTGTTCAAGGGTGCCGGTGCCAACATCCTCCGTGCTGTGGCTGGTGCTGGTGTGTTGGCCGGTTACGACAAGCTTCAGGTGATTGTGTTCGGAAAGAAATACGGCTCTGGTGGGGCTTAAGTGTAAGGCTCCTGAGATTTTTAAATTTAGAAAAAAAAAAAAAAAAAACACATTAACAGATGGCGATGAAAATCATATGTTCTTTAGTTTGAGAATTCATTTCAAGGGGAAGTTTGCTGCTTTCGAAATAATTTGAAACTTAGATAGGGTTTTGGACCCGAATATTGTTGCTGATGCTTCCTGGAAACTTATCCTGGGTGAGATCAATTTCATTTTTGCTGATGCATTTATTATAAATTTCCCTGTGGGTAAAATTTGATTTTTATGGCGTAGTCTTCTAGATTATTGATGGTTTTTGGCCGTTAGAGCACCCACAATGCTTTGGGTCTCTTTTTGTATATGTGGCATATAATTGGACTTGAGTCTTAAATGATGTGGACAAACCCAAGTAAAAAACTTCAATAGCTTTGCAATGTAAAAATAAAAATACTTGGTCTAGCATATATGTCAACCAATAAAAATTATCTAATATGTTTTTTTTATTAAAAGAAAAATTAAAGTAGGAATAAATGATTAGTGTTTGGGTTTGTACTTGGGTTCAAAATAGACCCAAGTGTGGACTTAGTCTCTTTTTTTTTATTGCCACATAAGCTAGACCATGTCCGCTTTTAATTGCATTGGGAAGCATTTTTTTATAGAGTAGGTCTATTTCTTACATGGCATGTGATTTTTTGTCAAGAGACCCAAAGCATTGTGGATGCTCTTAGTGGTTGTTCTTGATCCCAAGGGTGAAAATTTGCTGCTTTTTTGCTTTCTGATTTTATGCTATCAATGTGATTTATTGTAGAGATCTTCCGAAAAGTTTAATTAAAAGAAGTATGGTATTGTAATGTTGAGCACAATTCCTCATTTGTATAGTATTTTGAGTAATTACATGAGAGTGATAGAGATGAAAATGTTGAGATGGATGTGTGGCATACTAGGTTACATAAGATTAGAATTGTATGTATTAGAAATAAAGTTGTGGTAGTGCCTGTAGAGGAGAAAACGAGGGAATCTCGTTTAAGATGGTTAGGGGGCATGTGCGTAGGAGAGAGGCACGAGTGAGAAGGGTAGAAATATTAAAATTAAGAATGTAAATTAAAAGAGGCACGAGTGAGAAGAGTAGAAACAAAAATTAAGAATGCAAATTAAAAGAGGCATGAGGAGTAGACTTAAGAAAATTTAGGAGAAGAAAACAAGAAATGATTTAAATTATTTAAATTTGAGTGAGAATATATGCTTTTGATTGAGCACGAATCATATATAGTCAGATCTCACGTGGTGGGATTATAATGATTGATTGATATTTGTAAAACTAATAGTATTATTGAGACCCGAAAGTGCTTTGTGTAGAAATATGTTACATTTGTNGGAATCTGTCTGGCTCCTATTTGTAATGGATTTTTTGGGTTTGCTTCACCGTATTTAGGGATTGATTGGGTATATTAACTAAAATTGATTTTGATTGAATTTATTGACTAAGTGAGTTAATCTATATCTATATATATATATAATTACTAGCTGATGCATTTAATAAAACATTTAATAAAATTTATTTTTATTTCCTTCCAAAAGGAGTTACATTTTTTTTAATTAATTACTACTAATCTGCTAAAACCGTTACACCTTAATATATATATATATATAAAAATTTTTATTATTTATTTTTTGGACCAGTTACTAAATTATTCTAATTTGGTAGCAAAATATTCAAATGTGAAACAATTAATGTTGGAACTTAAAGTTGATTGGTACATTAAGAACTGTAACTGCTGTATTTGGTTGCATTGTTGGAAGAAAAATATGATTGACACATTTTTTTTAAAAATCAGAAACACCAATAATTTTTTTATTTATGTTAATTTTCTTAATATATGGCACAAATATATAAATTATTATATTCATGTTACTAATGTAAACGTTGCATGGTTAAAATAAAATTTAAAATCTCAATTAATTTTGAATGATAAAAATAACTTAAGAAAAAGTAATAATTTTTATATGATAGAAGAACATGTCTAATTAACAATTACAAACAAAAACATGTCTTATATCTGTGCAAATGCACATGATCAAATACTAGTTATAAGTAAAGTTGAATGAGTAGATAATTTAATAGGATTTTGAGTTTGTACTAAAATAATATTTAATATGTAATGATTAAGAGGATGCTTGGATATAAATTTATCCAAAAAAGTCCAATTATTTTTAATTTAACCATTTTTTTAACTCAAGTTTAACTCAACCTCACTATCACTAATATTATCAATATAATTAAATAAGATCAATCAATCATTCTTACACACCACATCAATCTTAATCACTATTCATCCCCTCACATTATTTTAACTAACCATCACTTCAAATCATCTCCCCTACTTTTACATCAAATCAACTTTAATTATTTTATTTTAATATTATTTTAATATACCCACTAACAACTATCTATACTACTTTTTTTAAAATTAACCAAAAAAAATCCAAACAAATCCAAAATTTTTTATATCTAATCATCCCCTAAGTTGTTGTGATGTAAGTGTACGAGAGAGAATATTGAAAATTATAAATAATTAAATTATGTATGCAAATTAAAGTTTATGTAATGTGTGAGAATGTTATATAGCATTTAATTATATTTATAATATGAAGTACAATTGTGTTGAATTTTTAGATACATGTGTAAAAAATTTATTCGGTTAGTCAAAATTAATATGTAGTCAAAATTAGTTTTAATCTGTATTTTCATCATGCCCTCACAATATAAATAATTTTGGAAGTAGATAGAATTCATTTCCCCCTAAAATTAATCTTGTTTACTGAAAAAACAAATTCAAATGCAAAATCCTTGCTTGGATATAATTTTTTTTTTGTTTAGATTTTTTTGTTTGGTATTGTTAATTTTGAAGAAAAAAAAAGTATAGCTGGCTGATAAATGGGATTTTGAGTTTATTTAAAATAATTAAAGTTGATTTGATGTAAAAATAGGAGATAGATGATGTGAAATGATGGCTAGTTAAAATTATCTGAGGAATGAATTGTGAATTAAAGTTAATGTAATGTGTAAGAATGATTGAGTGATATTATTTAATTATATTGATAATATTGAGGATAGTGAGTTGAGTTAAATAAATGATTGGATATTTTTGGAGAAATTTGTATCCAAACATCTCCTAAATGCTCTCTTCCCTAAAATCCCCCGTCGCCGCCTCGCTCCCTTCTCATTCTCCAGCTGCCCCCTCCTCCCCCCCTCCTCCCATCGGTAATCCACAACCCCAGTCAAAGCCTATGTCCTGAAGCAGGAGGCCTACCGCCTTCCTAGCGTCGCCTCACGCCGTATGAGGGCGTGGTCTCCAGTCGCGACTGTGAGCGGGAGAGGGTCCGTGGCACCTCGCGCCATGCAACACTCTCTCGGGCTAGAACTGTGCCGCCATTTTGTCCTGCAGGTGTAGCCCCCTGCCTCGTGTGGGTTGTTTTTTGGTGCCACAGCTCCGACGTCTTCTCCAGGCTGGTGGCCACCCGACAGGCTTCCCAGTCGGGTCGGGTCCCATCAGAGTGCGTGAGTTTGGTCCTCATGCGTTGCTTTCAGAGTCGATTCCTTCGAGCTCTCTTTCTCCCTCGATCAGGGGCGGAGGCACGTACATGTGTGCCTGGGCTGTAGCCCGGGTGCACCTCAGCCATCAATTAGTAGGAATAGTATACAATATTCTTGCTTTTTTAGAAAAACAAAATTTAGCCCGATGACATATGAAAAGCTAACATGTTTTGTTATATTTTTTTGTCCTGTTTTAATTAAGTGGGTTATATACCTGATAACAAACTAATTTTTATCCAGTTTCCATTAAGTGGCATTTATTCATATATAAAGTCTAAGTTATATATTAAGGGTATTTATTAAAAGGTAAAAATTGAGTCTACTTATAATAAAATTTATGTTTGTTTTCCATTAGTTTATATTTTGCACATAGTTCACCTTTTATATGTAATTCTACACAATAATTAATTTTCTAATTATATATTTCATTTATGTTTGAAAGTTCTTTTGTTTATTAGTTATATACCAAATTTTGCTTATTTTGTTCATTTTTCAATTTATATACTTCACATTAAATAGAATTAATATTGGATGTCTATGAAGTAATTTCTTTTTTGTTTTGATCTAATTTAATATTTAGTTGGTCACACTTAAAGTTTATTAAGTAATTTATTTTTTATTTAGTATTTATTTTAGACTAATTTTGTTTTTAGTTGGTCACTCTTAAAATTTATTTATAAGACATGTGGGTTTTCATAAAAATAATTTTAGCCCGGGTAGATATTGAATCCTGGCTCCGTCCCTGCCCTCGATCAATGACTTTAGGCTTTCAAATTTGCACTAAGGCTTGCCTTCCCGCCGGTTACCTAGCCACTTCCGTGGAGTTTTTAGTTCTGAGGTTCGTTTCTGTCTCGCTTTAGGTCCTGTTCGTAGTTTTCTTGTGTGTGGATTATGCCTTAGTGCTCGTCTGAGTTCTGTTGTGGATTGCTTGCGTTAGTTGGAGAGGTAGTAGTTTATAGATAGATTAGGCGCGTGTTAGTTTTATTCTTCGTACGTGTTTCTCCACTTGTTGGAGTTTTTAGTTTTATTCTTAGTACGTGTTTCTCCACTTGTTGGAGTTTTTAGTTCGTTGTTTTGTTTGGATTGGGCTCCAGCATGCCCGTCACCGTTGTAGACTGTCACTGTCGATTGTCTGGACCCAATTCCAGTTGTTTTTTGTTTGTCTAGGGTGCTTCGGTTAGCATTCCTCTCGATTCCACCTACTTGATGCTTTTATAAGAAATTCTAAAATTTTCCTTTTGAGGTTTAAAATCTATTGTTGGATAAAAAAAAAAAAAATCATCTCTAAATTCTAAATGGTGTGTCATCTTCTATTTTACTGCACTAGTGTTTTTTTTATTATCGGTAAATGATAAATATATATAAATAAAAAATGGCGTTACAACGACTGTCGAACGGCAAACAAAAAGCCAAGTGGGTAACCACAAGCTCGGTTCCTCACTCGCTAATCAAAATAATGAGAGACAAACCACAAGTCGGGTGCTCAACCCAAACCAAATCGTGACCATATATCAAAATGACTTTCCTCTCAAACTCGGCAAGTACATTCGAGAAACACCGCGAATATTGTACGATAAACACGGGTTTGCATCTTACGTACCTCAAGGAGGTTTAGTCTAGCCATTTCCAAGGACATTTCTCTCAACTTCGGCAAGGACATTCGAGTACAAAGCAAAGATATTCCTGTAGACATGAGTTTGGATTTTCCGAACAGTGAGCTCCGGTGATTGGACTTCATTTTCGAATATCTTCCTATTCCGAGCATTCCAAAGTTTTTTATATTTGAAAATTGATATGCATGTTGCTAAATGTGATCTAACATAATATACATGAAGGGATACGCCAGTGGTGAACGAATTTCTCTGTATCCATGGAGAACTGTGCTCAAAGTTTGGAATTCGTTAAGGCAAACATGCCGAAATATTGCACTTTGCACATATTTATTATGAATATGAACACACTTTGTTTCGAACACATATAATATGAATATGAAGCAAGGATAGAGAATAAATATAAAAATCAAATGATTTACACTTCTTGGGCCACCCACTAAATTGGGAAGCAAGTGTTCATCCTAATTACATGCTTCTAAAGCGACAATAGAACACCTAAATTGGCAAGCTGCACGTTAGATGTGGTAATTTGCCCAAACGTTGAAGACAATAGAACACCGATATTTAATACAATCGATTGAAGATGATCATTTTAGATGTTGAGGTCAGTTCATACAAATGGATATGGATAGATAAAACCATCAAAAAATACATTAGACAGCACAAACACTGTAAACAGAAAACAATTTTTTGGAATACATGAATGTTATTATGTTACCCTGCATGGTCCGATGTATGAGCAACACACGTTTGTAGTCCGAAACTGGAAGAAATAAATAATAAACAAAAAGTTGTTCAACTATTTCTCTCATCCAATGACAGGCTCAGTTGTTATACTTAGCTTCACGCCTAGCAGCCCAAAAGATACCAGCAAATGGACCTCGACAACATAAAATCTCTCATT